TCTTCACTGCCCGCCAGAACACAATACCACCACGGAGTAAGGCAAAGCTGGGAGGCAGTGCCAGAGGGGGGCCGGATGGCAAGCTGTGACCCCTGGATCCAGCCATGCCTGAAGCTGTCCTGGCCTTCTTAAAGGAGCTCACAGGGGGCACCTGGGTGGCCCAGTCGGCAAACGTCTGACTCTTGATTTCACCTCCGGTCATGATCTCACAGTTCATGAGTCCGAGCTCCGTATCCGGTTCTGCACTGACAGTGCGGGGCCTGCTTGGGATCCTCTCTGGCCCTCTCTCTCTGGCCCTCCCCTGCTCACGTTCTCTCTCTCTCTCAAAATACTAAATAAACACGAAAGCAATTGCTCAACGACCAAAGGAACCAATAAAGCCCCTCCTGGTGCCACCATTCTGGGGCTTGCCCCTGAAAGAGCCCTCACTCGAACTGGGGTTTGCCCAGAAGCGCCCCGAGAGAGATGCTGAGAGCCGTACCTGCAGATCTGCACCTCGTAGCCCAGATCCAGGGGGTCGTTGGGGGCCGTGCCGTTCTGGAAGTCACTGACGTTGAAGGAGGAGAGGGTGTGGTTGACGAAGCCGTGCATGGTCCCGTTCTGGCTGTACATGTACAGGTACACCAGGCGAGGGATGAAGTCGGACGTGAAGGAGATCACGAACGCCTGGGCCAGGGGACAGCGGGGTGAGCGCAGACCCCCGGCTGGGTGGGGGGGGGGGGGGGGGGGGGGGGGGCTCGCCCCGAGCGGGCCTGGCCATGTGACCCTCTGCCCACGAGCTGGCCACGTGAGCAGCGTGTTGAGCGAAGAAATGAGAGTCCCAGGCACTCCCGGAGGCCCCCCTGGCAGCCGAAGGGGAGGGCCTGGGGGCAGGGAACAGGACACCCCGAGCAAGAAGGCCCGGGGACAAATGCTGCCTCTCACCGGCTGTGTGGCCTTGGGTGGGTCACCTAACCTCTCTGTGCTCCGCGTGCTTCGCCTTCCTGGCTCGCTTGAGAGGGAACGTGGGAGTAGAAAGTTCTTTGTAAACGGCCATGTATTCCAGAGCCGTCTCTGGGGGCAGCCCGTGTGGTGCCAACGGCAGGGCAGGGCCCCGGAGCCTGACAGCCTCAGGTGAGGTCCAGCCCGGCCTCTTTCTGGCTGTGTGGTGGTGGGCAAGTCGCCTGACCTCCCTGTGCCTCTGTTGTCTCACACGTAAGGTGGGCCATGACAGCCCCCGCCCTGAAGGTCGTGTGTGTGAATGGGTGGATGTGTGCAAAGAGCCTGGAAGGGCCTGGAACGTTCTAGATGCTCGATAAATGTTAGCTGCCATTACTACTGCTGTTGGTTGTTCCCATGAGATGTTTCCAGCTGCTCACAGCACCCCTGTGCCCCAGGGAGACTGTCCCCTGTTCCAGCACCACCCTCCGCCTCAGAGCCCTGTGCTCAGCCACCTAGGTCGGGATGAGGGGCCGTCGCTGTCCAGGGTGCCCGCTCTGCCCGCCGTGGCTCTTTAACGAGGGGTTTCAAAACCTCGACTGGGCAGGGGGGCGGCCACCGGCAGGGGAAGCAGCGTCGGAGGACTCTGAGGGTCCCTTCTCCGGGACTGAGCTTTACTTCCTGTGCTGTGGGGGCCCGATCCCCAGGCCTCGCCCTGACCCTGACCCTGACCCCGACCCAGCATGGTGCAGGCCCCAGGCTGTGCCTACTCCTGAGAGCAGTCGCCTGTGTGCAAACAGGCAGCTTCTGGGGGCTCAGTTGAGGCCAGCAGACGGAGGGCCGAGGGTCCCAGGGTGGTGGACCCGTGAGGCTGTCTGGGGTTTGCACGCCTGGGGTTCAGCCTTGGGCGCAGAAGCATGTGTTAGGGACCACCGGACAGCTCAGCCCAGGGCGGTCCTGGCCCCAGCACGGTCACGTGGACCTAGATGGGCGGCTGCAGGGGAGACTGAGGGCTGGTTGGCATGACAGAGGGGCCACTGCCCTTCTAACCTGTAGGCTCAGAGGCGGGAGAGGGCGGGAGGGTGGGTGGCACCATGGGGCAGGAAGGTGTGGATGAGATTCTGGGGAGGAGGGCTGCCCGGGCAGGAGTCTGGTGGGGAAAACAAAATGCTTTGCGAGCTCCAGGTGTGTGTGTGGGGGGGTGGGGGTGTGGGGGGATGGCAGGCTTCGCCCCCTTATCTGCATGTTTCTGCGTTTCTGGAACCTCTGAAGAATAGGCATGCGTTTTATATAAAGGGGAAAAGCTAAGTTTTTAAAAGAGGAACAGAATGATTGCTACGGAGTCATTTCTGTCTTCTCTCTCTCTTTCTCTCTCTGTCATATTCTCAGGACGCTGGGGAGAGAGTGGACCTAAGAGCCAGGGTGGACATATGGAGAATTTGGCTCACGGTTATAGAACAAGGTCGAGAAGAACTTGCCATTCCCATCCACGGCTCGTCCCAACCCTTCAATACGACCAAGGGATGTGTCTAGACAGGAGATGCTTCCGCCAGGCTGGGGCCGCACCGGAGTCGGAGGCAGGGACCCCACCCAGCTTCCCTGCGAAGGGCGCCCCGCCGCGTGTCAGCTAGGCTGGGGCCTCCACTCGGCAGACGTCCCCGGCGTCACTTACGTTGATGATGACCGCCAGCTTCCCGACACCTCGGAGAATATTGTACCAGATTCCTGGGGGAGGAGAGCAGCGGTTTCAAGACCCCCCCTTGCACCCGGATCTCAGTGACTCGGGCTTGCCGGCCAGTGGGCCCGCTGTGATGCATGGTGGTGAGGAGATGTTCTGGAGCTCTGGGCGGGGGTGGGGGGGGGGTGCCCTGGCTGACGACAGAGCTGCTTGTAATCTGCAAGTTGTAGCTTCTGAAAGAGGTGCTTCAAATCAGCTGCTGCCTCTCCCGTGAACCTGTTCACACTGCTAACTGGCGTGGATAAAGCCCTTCCTTCTAGAGAGACAAGACTCACTTTGGGTGCGGTTCCTGCCCCTAAGGGTCCAAGCCCGCGAGGTTCGGGTGTGGCCCTAGGAGGTTCGGCTGTGGTCCTAGGACTGTGTCTAGGGACAGACCAGACGTAGTGTCAGGGCCAACAAGCAGTACCGGGGCCCCTGGCTGGCGACGCCGGCCTCACGACCTGAGTTTCACGTGACAGCAGCGAGGTGCGAGACGCTTCCCGTCCGGGAGCCCCGGTTTCCACCAGCCCGGGGTTGTCCTGTACCTAATCATGGCTGAGCAGAAGGGGCCCCGCCCAGCACCGGACAAATGCATGTTCCTCTGCCGGCCTCCCCAGCAGAGGTGAGGGGAGCAGGGCCCGGGGAGGAAGTGCCCTGTCTGAGGGCCCCGGGCGGCCTTGCCCCTTAGGCCCCTGACTGCCCCCCTCCTCCTCCAGCCTAGCGGGGCCCTATCGGGCCAGGCACGTGTCATGGGCAGCTGGTGGGCTCAGAGCCCAGTCCCGGTGGTCCCTCCCTGTCCCGGACCCATCTGAGATGGGGACAGAGGTCTGGTGCTCCTGTTGTCGTGCAAGAGGACGGCGGGGTGGGGTTCCTACACCCAGGGCGGAGACCGCTGCAGGCATGGCCAGGGAGAGCTACACGTGGGCATTTCTGCCCTCGCGGGGGGCGCTGGGGGGCCACCTGGGCCCGTGGTGTCTGCAAAGACAGCAAGAGTGCAGGCCTGCGGGGCCCAGAAGCGGAGGCCGCAGGCTCGGACGTAGCCGCTGAGCTCCGTGCCGCAGACCCAACTCCGCCAGGCCGCGTGGGAAGCGAGGGTGGCCTCCCCGCCTCCGGTGAGCAGCTCCAGCACCCGAGGGAGCCAGGACCGGACCTTCTCCACGACCGGGGAGGCTCTCAAGGCGCCTTCCCGCCGGAACAGCACGGGTGGGCACGCACCCTGCCTGTCTCCCCTCATGGGGGCCGGCGGGGATGGGGGTGAGCGGGCCGCGGCCCTGGCAGGGGTGACGCGTCCCCGCAAGGTCACCTGCCGGTGCTTCCTGCCTGCTGCTCGGGGCTGGGAGACCCTTCTGCAGACTCCGGGCTCCCGGGCGGGCTGCGGGCCGCGAGCTGCTCCTCCCTGCGTCTCTCCTGGCGTCCAGAGTGCTGTCTGGCACCTGGGGGCTCGGCGCTCCCGGGTCCACGTTTGCCAAGTGCCCGCAAGAGGGCGGAGAGCCCTTCACATCCTGGCACGGGGGTGTTTCGTCGAGCTCGCTCACGTGTGACTTAAAAAACATTGACTGGTGCTTGCAAAGCAGGATGATGTGTTTTTAAAAACCTGGACCCGCAGCCCCTGAGAGAGAGAGAGAGCCCCGCTCTGGTCCGCGGGGGCTGGCACGGCGCCATGGCTGTGGGGGCGCCCCCTCCTGGCCGGGCCACACACTGCGGTTCTGTTCTCTGCAGGCCGGAGCCACCACGGAAGCCTCCCAAGTCCAGTCCCCGCTGAGCGGGAGGATGGGTCACGGACGAAGGGAGTGCCCGCTGCTCTGTGCCACGAGAGCATCCTCTGGGCCTGCTGTTCACTCCTTCACGTGGCCGCCTGGCCCTGCGGGCTCTGGGTTTGAGACCTCGCAGACGAGGCACTGGGCCATGGGTAAGCCTGGCACTCCCCGGGGAGGCGGACCCACCCGAGCGCAGTGCGGGGAAAGGAGACAGGTGACAGGCCCACGGGCCCCAGGATGTCTCTGTGTGTCTAGACCCGAGACCCGCTGGGGGACCCCGTGCCGAAATCACGGGGTCTTGTTCAAGACGAGCAAACCCAGGACGCCAGCCCCGCCCGCAGGGTCAGTCTCTGTCTGCGTCTTGACCGTCCCTCTGAGCTACTCGGCCACACGCTGTAGAGAGCACACGATGCTCCAACGAGCTCCAGATACAAGACGAAAACCTTCCGGCTCCTTGAGAATCTCGGCGGGTGGTGCGGTCTCAGTCTTCAAGGTGTCCCCGCCGCACCAGGGGACGCTAAACCCCATTTCCGAGAACGAGACGGGCAGGCGTTCAGTCTCGCCTTACCACACGCGGTGCCCAGGAGCTGAACGCGGGCAGCGGCCGTTCGCCAGGAAGGCTCCAAAGAGCCTGGTGTCACAGGTCAGGGCTGGGAAGCTGGGGCCGGGTTCCCCCTGGCAGGGAGCTGGGTCCCCGCGGCGCCTCCCCTCGGAGCCGCCCCTGGCGCCTGGGCGCAGGCCGTGGGGGCCCCTGGGGCCGCGTGTCCCCTCGGGGCGCACGCGGATCACAGGAGCAACACAGAGGCCTGTTCGAGGAAAGGTTACGGTGAAGGAGCCCGCAAACACCCCGTGAAAACCCGGCAGCTTATGCCTCCAACCAAGCAGACAGGAACCAGGAAGTGAGCAGCTGACCCGTAAGAACGGGGAGAAAAGGGAAGCCGTGGGCAAAAGAATGAAGATGGGCGTCCCAGCCTCACTGGCGGCGGGCAGGGAGGGGAGGCGGCCCAGGCGCTCCCTCTCAGCCCGATGGGTTGGCGAGTTTCAGGACGCGGCCGCAGGGGAAGCACTGACAGGCCAAGGGGCCAAAGCAAACACACACCCGCTGTGGGCTCGCCCGGGGCCTTTGGGCGCCTGAGAATCAGGCCTTTGTCGGGGAGGCCACACTCTTGTCTTTACCGCCACAGGGCTCCAGAATTCTCAAGGGCTGTCCAGGGAGCGCCTGGCAAGCGGCCCTTTCCTTCTGGGGACTTCGGTGTGCAACGTAAGCTTTTCCAGGCAAAGCCTCTTCCCACGGACGTGCACAGGAACGGGAGACCGGGGCGGGGGTGGGGGGCGCCGGGGGCTTCCCGTCTCCGGTTCCCGCTCAGCGTTGTTAACCACCTGGCCTCAGTCTCCCCGTCCGGTAAACGGGACTGAGGATCTCCCCAAGCTTCCTCGAGAGGTTCCTCGGAGGACCCGACACCGAAGGCCCCAGGAAATGGTCAAGGCCCCTCCCCCAAACTCGGCGTAACCCTCCAGGTTCATCCTCAAAGCGTGGCACTGTCTGAGTCGTCCACATGGGTGACAGGCGTTTCCCACAAGGATGATCCAGGGCCAGGTGCCGGAGAAGCCCCCACGGTTCAGCAAGATTACATCTGCCCTGATGGCGTCCCGCCCTGGTCTCGGGAAAGTGACAACTTGCCTAACAGGCCACTCAATCTTTGTGTCTTCTGTCACTGAGCACAGACGGGCCATTCTAACTAAAGTTCTGTGAAACGGGACTTCGATGCATCTTTGTGATTTTCCATCTCATTTCAAGATACAGTGGGACCTTCCTCGCCTTCACCTTGAAAACGGGGTCCTGGTTTAGTTAAGTCGACTCACGTGGAGAGAATCATCCTCACGGGTGACACTGTGGTCAGTTCCCACGATCCCCGCAAGCGCGGCCTCCCGAAACCCTCAGCCTCTCTCCTGCGCCCCCATGAGGAACCCTTACTGACTTGGGGTTAACACCCCGTGGGCCCTGACCCCACAGGCAAGCCATGCAGTGCCCTTCGTGCGTCAGTGGGAGGGGCCCCTTCCCGCCTCCCCTTTGCTGTTTGTGAATGCTGACTGAATACACGACACGCTACAGACTGCCCATCTGTCTAGCTCTGTCTGTGCTCCGGGGGCCACACGGACAGGAGAGGGGTGGTGCGGAGGGCCTGGGAGGGCACGTGCACCTCGGGGACCTCCTCGTGCAGCAGGCTGCGGGGACACGCACACATCCGAGGCACTGACGCTCTCAGGAGGCCCGGGGCTGGGGCGGGGGCGTGCAGGAGCCTCGGCGTCTCGAGCCCCCCACACCTGGCCCCCGAGTCTCCATCCAGCACAGGCGCGGCAAGGAGCCCAGGGGAACACGTGCCTGACCCCACTCCTCCGGCTCCGGGTCAGGCTCCTGGGGAGCAGGACTCCCTCCCCAAACCCGGCGTGCCCTGAGAGCCAGCTCCCGAGGGTCACTCACCGATGTCTTTGGCTCTGACGGCCACCGGCCTGCGGAGCTCGGTCACAAACTTTTTGGCGTCCAGGCGGATCTCGATGATGTTATTCAGCAGCGCGAACAGTGGGGCCAGGGGGAAGGACGCGACGAACAAGGTGACAAAGCCAAACTGGATTACTGCAGGGAGAGCAGGACAATTAGCTCGTTGCCGTGCCCCTCGGTCCCCACAGTGGGACCCCGTGGCGGCGGCCCCCAAGGTGGATCTCCAGAGTGGGACCCCACGGCAGGACGCACGGCCCCACGTGCCGCAAGCTGAACCACGTGGGCTGGGTCTGGCTCGCATCCTGCCTCTGACGTGGCCCCTGCACCCACATAAGAAGGGCCCTGGGGACACACCCACTGCAACCCTGGGTGACCCCGGGCTAGGAGGGGGCCGTAGGGAAGAGTCCACATTTTGCTCTGGCCCTCAGTGTTGACCCCAGAATAACAGGTATGCACTTGCTTATCGAACATCTCATCCTAACAGATCACGGGGAAAAGGCCCTGTGCGCAGGAAGGCCCAGCCTCGGTGCCCTTGCCGTGCCTGGGCTGGCAAGGGCCTGGCGGGGGCAGTCCTGAGCAGCCAGGGGTCCCGCCACCATCCCTGGTCTCCCAGAGCCCCGTCGTCCCCTCCCATGGGGCCTCGGGGAGCCGGCGGGGCCCACTGTCCAGGACGGTCCGCTGCGTGTCCCTCCTCTTGCCCATCACCCTCACGGTCAGCAAGCCGGCGGTGGGGCTTCGCCCTCGGGCGCCGCGGCCAGCGCGGAGCCGGGCTCCGGGGAGAGGTCAGGTAAAGGTTGCTGCACGGAACCGAACGGGGGAGGCCGATTCAGGAACTGTACAGTATGTCCAAGGGCCCTGGCTGCCAAGCGGTAAACAAGGAAGCCGGCAGAATGTCACCGTGTGCCAGGCAGGCTGAGTGTGGCCATTGTTAGCGCCGCAGGTGGGGGCCCCAGGGGAGCCTCCGTCTGGGAGCCGGGCCGCTGGCTTCTCCCTGGGCCCGGGGGCCTCCGCGGGACGCTTGTATGGACGTGGCCTTGCCTGAAGGCGGCTCTAGAGGTGATGGAGGCCTCAGACGAGCTTGGCTGTGGGCCCCGTGTGGGCTGCTGGTGCCCGAGGCCGTGGGGTCCCCGCTCCCGCCAGGTGCTGCCTCCTGTTGGTGGGTCTCGAAGCGGGCAGGGGAGCCGGAGATGGCTTGGGGCTGGGCTTGCAGCGGCGCCTTCTTTCCGGTCTCGGGCGTTGTGTGCCACAGGCGTTCAGGGGGGGTCCGTCCTCCAGGAGGAGACCGGCGGCGGGTACGGCGTGGGCCACAGGG